GCCTAAAGTTATAATGATTACTTTAAAATATCAGACATCACTTTGGCAACTTCTTGGACAGTTATCCAAAACTCTACAGTTTCTACTTCTGTCATATCTTAGATATATTTACAGGTCTTCTTGAACACACTAATACATGACCTTTATAATTTACGAATAAAAAACCTAAAACCACCGGCTTTAAGTTTACAGCAGCGAATACATGTCTTCTTGTTAATATAAGTAACTGTGAAAAAGGTATTTAGACTGGTCCAAATTGAACAAACTATTATAATGGTTTCGGCATATTTTTAATATATATTAGTTATTTATATTTCAAAGTTGTAATAGTAGTTTTAGAATGTCGTTGTCCAATCAAATACTATTTATTTAATTTATATAGAGAACCTAATAATAATAAGTTAAATGAGATAAGAAACGCTTTAAAAGTATTAACTTGCTCGAAGGTACATGTAAGCAAGACGTTTCATCAAAATTCAAAAAATGAGAAATGATATCTTCAATTATAAGAATGTTAATAAATGTATTATTGGCATCTCATATATCTTTAAGAAGTAAAACTTTATTTTCAGATTGTCAATTAACCGCATAATTATTCGATTTATTTGTAATTTAAATAATAAATTCTATTATAAAGCGATAAATATTTACTTTCACTATTAAAAAGAATAATTTTGAGAAAAAATATATGAAGCATTAAATGTTGATATTGTATAATCATAAATCTAATAAAATCTTAAAGAATAATACTTTGATAATCTTTTTGGTTGATTTGAATAGAATCTCATTCAAATCTAATCATATAATAGATATTTATAATTTGAATTACTCATTTATATATCTGAAAGCAATAAATTTTTAAAACCTAAAATGACCAAAAAGAATAAAATAAACATAAATGAATAATTTAATATTCTATTTAAGTAAACATATACAATAAAGCTTCCATTTAACAAAAAAACCCATACTGATTGTATTCATATAGATAATAATTATATTTTATTACACAAAAATTTAATATTTATACAAAGTATAAATTTATCCTCTGATAGAGATGTAAAAATAATTTGATGAGTCTCATTAATCATCAATGTCAATTAATCTTACTTTATTGATTTAGTAAATTTTATTTTATGATTTTCTATGGTTATGATTCAATTTTCTGTTCCATTTTCTAAAAATTTTACATGCTTATCTCAAAATACATTCTATCAATGCGGTTTGTAACTTCCCTAACAACAGAACCTCCGTTAAATCCCAGATGCCAATTATTAGGTAACCATTTAGTAATCTCTGAAAAGGGACTACTAGGATAAGTTAATATAGATTCGTCCAGATTTCCTCCTTAAAAAAACGTACGAGCAACTATTATTTTATTAGCATATTCTTTAGAATCTTTGCCTAAACATTTCGCAATCAACTCTAATATTTATTTGGTTTCTAAGGTTAGTCGCTATTCTGTTACTTTTAAACAAATAACAAATATATCAATTAATTATTTCTCTTTATTAATGAAGTCGTATACCATCTTAATTTACTCATTATTATATCCGTAAGTACCAGGAGTATCTATTAAATTAATTCCATACTGTCTTTAATAAGATCCAAGATAATAATGAGATATTTTAGTGGTTGGTTCTTAATTTGCTACAATTAATCTAAAATTATCATCTAATGTAATTCTAAAAAAATAATTAACAAATGAATTTATTAATGTCGTCTTCCCGACATCTTTTTCTCCAATAAAAATAATTTTTTTATATTAATAATCGTACTTTTATTCTCCTAACTCATAATATTATAATTCTCCATTCAGTTTAGCACCTAATCGATTTACAGATAATTTTAATCCTTATTTCAATTAAACATATTCTACAATTTTTTATTGAATGGCTTTTTATATACATTTCTAAATATTATTTTACTCAATAGTGTTTTAGTTTTTTCCCCTAAATTAAATTAATTTGGATTATACTGCTTTAAATACTATAAATGGATAGACTTATCATCACTAGCATAACCTGAATTACCATCTAATTTATTTAACTCATCTACTTCTTCAAGTTAACGAATTACTTCATCAATACTGATTCTTTTCACATCCTTATTTAATTTATTTTCATTATCTAATCTTTGAATAATCATTTTTTACAGTAATTTTTATTACCATTATTCTAAATTTTTATTTGCTCTTATTTTTTCATTGATTTATATTTGCTTGATTTAAATTAGGTCATCAATTATTTCACCTTCTTATTTATTTGTAAAAAATACTAAACCTAGGAAGACCTCATAAAAAACCAATCCCAAAGACCAAATATCAACCGAATGGTCATAAACTTAGGTTTTCAATATTTCTGGAGCCATATATTGATATGTTCCTTGCATTTGGGTTTAGGATTTCTCTTCAATTTTTTTTGAGATCCCAAAATCAATCAATATGATTTTGTTGTCTTTCCCTATTACAAAATTACCAGGTTTTAAATCCCGATGAAAAAATCCTAATTTATGTAATTCTTAAACACCTTTTGCCATCTAAAATATTTATATTTTTACTTGCAAGCATGCATTCTTTTTATTCAAAATTTTACTTAAATCAAACTTTTCACCAAGTTCCATAATTGTGTAAGCAGCTTTCTCCTTTTTTTCAAAAGCAATCACTTCAATTATATGATCAAATTGTTTTCCTTTAATTGCCGATAAAATCTAGTTTTCAAAATCTGAAATGTCTTTTTGTATTTTTACAGCCACAAATTTACCCTAACTAATTTTACCTTTGAAAAGAGATCCAAAATTTCCTTAATCTATAATATCTTCATAATTCACAATTACAGTTGTTGTTTCAACCTATATCATTGCTAATTTCTATTAGTTAAAAAAAAATTAGAGAATAAATGAAATAATTTCATAATTTTGGGTGAATTTAATTTAAGAAGTTGAGATATTATTAAATCTCAAAAATAAACAGCCTTCTTATAATTTTCTAATTATATTTTTATTTAATTGGTTTGGTACCTACTTTCCATTTTTGGTAAAGCCACCCCTGTCTACTTCTTTTCTAAAGAAAACGACAGTACTGAGTACGGTTGGCCTAGAGGAACAGACTAACCCAATACGTACTAGTGTGGGTAGGGCTGAGTCAATGAGGTGTTAAAAATGCGAAGTTATTAAAGATAGATTAGAAGAGGTGTATGTTGTATATTTTTGCAAAAATGGGTTTGTTATTATAACTTTTTTTTAGTATTTGTAAATTCTGGTCCAAAGCCATTATTATAAAAATTAGTTGAAATCAATAATGAATTAGGAAATATGTTGATTAAAAAATATCTGCTGGTCTATACAGATGATATGGCGATTTTCTCATATGGAAATGGTAGCTCAATAGATTACAAAAATCTTCATTGAATTAGCTAAAGAATTTAATTTCAATGAGAACATGAATAGATCAAGATATATGTCGAGGATGAATGTCCAAAAGAAAGGGTCAGGCATAATGAGCGTGGAAGAAATTAAGAATTTTAAATATCTGGGTGTAACTCTCAATTCAGGAGGTAATCTTAAAGATCAGTTTAAAGGATTAAAAGGGATTGTGACCTATTTTGCTGGACAACTCTATACCAAGGTTTTTGGCAACTAGACACATAACCTAGATATGGAACTCCTTTGTGAAGCCTCTCTTTGATTATGTGTACATTGTGGAAAAAAAAATTTGTAATATAATTACAAGAAAAATCAAAATACTAAATTTTAGGAATGCGGTATGTAGACAAATTTTAAACTGAAAAATTCAAAAAATTATTGGATCAAATGTTCTTTCAATCTATCACATTTTGTGGAAGAACTGTGATCTAACTCAACATATTGTTTGATCACAGTCAAATCATAATGAAAGTATTGTTTCAATAAATCGAAAAATGGAAATATCGAAAAGGGATAATTCTTGGAAAGAAAGATAGAAGCCAATACATGAAATTGAAATCTCGTATACACAATCCTTACCTGTAAATATTTATTTATCATTCAACAATCTACCAAATCCCCTTCTCTCCCAAGACCCCCCCATCCTGTAGGCTCTATTAAAAAAAATTTGAAGAGACATATCTGTTTGCTTCTATTCCTATTTTTGATCGTGTAGATGTTGACTAGAGAAATTATTGGATTTATATC